TTTTTTAACAATTTGTAAAAATTAAAACATAAGTTTAATAATCAATCCCAAAATTGTCATTTTTCGACAAAAATTTTTTGAGAGTCTATTTAGTATAGCCTAAAATAAAAACCCTAAAAGCTTATTTTGTAAATCTTTTAGAAAAGAGTTTTTTTCAAAAACATCTATTCGAGAAGGGAGGGAAAGAGAAGTCAATGATCCATCCAAATAAAGTTTATTTGACAATGTTTGCAATTATATCAGCACTAATGCACTAGATTTTATCAAAATTTCCCAACATGTTTGAGTGAGAATACAATTAAAATAGATAATCCCTTAGAAAGTCCTCTTGTTGAACTCTTTCGAAAANTATCAAAATTTCCCAACATGTTTGAGTGAGAATACTATTAAAATAGATAATCCCTTAGAAAGTCCTCTTGTTGAACTCTTTCGAAAAATAAATAAATAAATTATTGGACGATAAAATTAGAAGTGGTTGTAGACACGAATTTATTCAAACTCAGCCACACGTTGCTAAGAGGTAACTCGTTTATAAAAGGGGTATAGAAATTTGATCAAATTCGGTGATTGTGTAATTTGAATAAGACAACTAATTGNGGGTATAGAAATTTGATCAAATTCGGTGATTGTGTAATTTGAATAAGACAACTAATTGTGTGATACAAATCATATATGTGTTTTCTTCAGGGGTGAAGTCTGCATCATTGGAGGGACCAGAAAAAAATGAGTTAGAGGTGGTCGGACACGAAAACGACCCCGTGAAGCTCACCAAGTTGCTGAGGAAGAAGATTGGCTTTGCCGAGATTATGGCCGTCTGTGCAGTTGACGTGATGAAATGAAGGCAACCGAGAGTGAAAATAAGCTCCAAATGAATTATAATTACTCGTATGGAAAGACNCTTTGCCGAGATTATGGCCGTCTGTGCAGTTGACGTGATGAAACGAAGGCAACCGAGAGTGAAAATAAGCTCCAAATGAATTATAATTACTCGTATGGAAAGACGAGGATGGTTCATAATTTGTATCTTCTTATAGTCTTTTACACGTTAATTCACCACCCTCACCAACCCATCTCCTAGAAGCGGAGGATGGTTCTTTGCATCTTCTCAAAGCCCTTTTCTTTGTAATTTTTTGAATTAATTGCACTGGAGGTTCCTAAAGTATAAAATTTATTTTATTTTAGTCTTCAATATTTCAATTGTATTATTTTGATATTTGACATATTAAATATATTTTATGTGGTCCTCAAGTAAACAATATTCATTATNACGAGGATGGTTCATAATTTGTATCTTCTTATAGTCTTTTACACGTTAATTCACCAACCCATCTCCTAGAAGCGGAGGATGGTTCTTTGCATCTTCTCAAAGCCCTTTCTTTGTAATTTTTTGAATTAATTGCACTGAAGGTTCCTAAAGTATAAAATTTATTTTATTTTAGTCTTCAATATTTCAATTGTATTATTTTGATCTTTGACATATTAAATATATTTTATGTGGTCCTCAAGTAAACAATATTCATTATTAACGATTTTTGATCATAAACTTCTCATGTGATACCTAAATATAGACAAAAAATAATTTAGATAACTTTTGACAAAAAAAATGTGTAATTGACCAAAATTTAGATAGTTCATAATCAAAAGTGTGTTATTTGAATAACTCTTTGACCAAAATTTTGGTAAAAATTTAGTAAGGAGTTATTTAAATATTTNTGTAATTGACCAAAATTTAGATAGTTCATAATCAAAAGTGTGTTATTTGAATAACTTTTTGACCAAAATTTTGGTAAAAATTTAGTCAGGAGTTATTTAAATATATTTTTATTCATATTTAGGTATTACATAACAAGTTTAGAATTAAAAATTATTAATAATCTAGATGTTGTTTCCTTGAGAGACCATATAGAAAAATTAGTTATTGTCTGTGATTGAAGACACATAGTAATAAAAAATGGTAAACAATAAATATATTTGTGTTCATATCCAAAATTAAATCACAAACATAGAAGAAAAATAAATGAATTTAAATATTAATTATAATGGGGGTAAGAAGTGGTGGGCGACAGTGATGATCGTAAGAGACAAAGATAGTTGTGGTGGGTGACAATGACTGTGGCGGCGATGGTGGTGGTGGTGGCGACGATGGTGATGGTGGTGGAGGCAACGGCGACAATGACCGTGGTGGTGGCGGCGACGGCGACGATAATGGTGGGGGCGGTGGCGGCGGCGATGATGGTGGTAGCTCGCGACGACGTTGGTGTTGATGGTGGTGGTAGCGGTAACGATGGCAGCAACAACGGTGGTGGTGGTGGTGGCAACGGTGGTAGCGATGTCGAGGGCGGTGGCAGCGGTGGTGGTGGTGGGGATAGAGGTAGTAGTAGGGCGGTTTCAAACACTATTTTTTTTAAAGTACTTATGAGAAATAATTTTTAGAAATACTTTTAAAAATTTATTCCAAACACACCCTTAGGGTTCTATTTTTCCTATTAAATTTATAGTATTAATATTAGTCGTTAGATTAACTTTAAAGTAAAATTTAAAACGATCTAAACCGTAAAAATCAAAAAGTCATTTTGTTTATCTTTTGGAATTTGAATTGTAAATTACTTTATTATATAGACTAGTTATTGTCTGTGTCTGAAGGCACAGAGTAATAAAAAATGGTAAACAATAAACATATTTTTATTCATATCTAAAATCAAATCACAAACATCGAGAACAAATAAAATAATTTAAACATCGATTTGTAATAGGGGTGAGAGGTGATGGGCGGTAGTGGTTGTGATAGGAGATTATGATGGTTGTGGTGGATGATAATGACTGTGGTGGCGTTGGTGGCGGTGAGGGTAACGACGACAACGGTGGTGGTGGTGGTGGCAGCGACGATGGTGGTGGTAGCGATGGGAGGTGGGGGTGGCGGTGATAGAGGTGGTGATGGTGGGGGTG